CGCCCCTTCTCCCACAAGTGAGAATACAATACTCAAATTGTAAGAGTATCCTGGGGTATGTCTACACTAGCCCCCTAGTTCGAACTAGGGAGGCTAATGTAGGCATTCGAACTTGCAAATGAAGCCCGGGATTTAAATATCCTGGGCTTTATTTGCATCTTCCCGTCCCGTCGCCATTTTTAAATGACATTAGTCCGGACTAATTGCCCGCGGCTACACACGGTAGTTAAACGGTAATTCGAACTAAGTCCTGGAATGAGGTGTAACAGGTAATTCAAACTAAGGACTTAGTTCGAATTACCGTTTAACTACCGTGTGTAGCCGTGGGCAATTAGTCCGGACTAATGTCATTTAAAAATGGCGACGGGACGGGAAGATGCAAATAAAGCCCAGGATATTTAAATCCCGGGCTTCATTTGCAAGTTCGAATGCCTACACTAGCCTCCCTAGTTCGAACTAGGGGGCTAGTGTAGACATATCCCTGGAGAGGTCTCATGAGGAAATGCTTGTTCTTATGGGAATTCCAATCTCAATTTCCAGACCAACACTTCAGCTTCATCTCTTAGATTTCTCTAGTATTTTCCATTCTGCTAATCCCATTGTGCTGTAGAGAAGTAGATAGAAGCCATTCATCTACCACTGAAGTACAGCTCCTTGTGCGAGAAGTGTAGCAATTGTCCTGCGCCTTTAATGAACAGGGCCTGAACAAGAGCTGACCTTTGGAACATTGGAATCCAGATCCTATATTTGGAGGTAGCCTCTGAATTGGGGACTATACAGGACATTGAGCTGTTTGGATCTGCCATTTAGGGTATGGAATGAACAGCTCCCACTTGCCTCTATATACCTCAGTGACGAATATATTGATTGTTGCTTGGCTCCCTCTACCAGAGAGCAGGTCAAGAGAACTGAAGGCATGTTTTCACTATGAGCAGGGTCAATGAGCAGCAATCGATCCAACAGGGGTTGATTTATTGGACCACCAAAAGGTCCCCTATCAACTCTAGTACTTCACCAAAACATGAAGAGTAAGCAAAGGTGACGAGAGAGTGTCAGCTATCAACTTACTGCTGTGAAGACACCATGGTAAGCAGACGTAATTACGTCAACTCAAGCTATGTTATTCATGTCACTGAATGGCCTGTGGTAGTAGAGACAAGGCTTTAGTATTGATAGTAAGCTCAGCTGAAGAAGCATGGAGTTTAAGAGCTGCCAGCTTGCTTCCTGTACCTGTGATTAGACTGTAAGAAGAGGGGTATTAAATTGTGGTGCTCCTGTGCTGCCTTTAGTCATAAATCACAACAGGCAACACAAGAGTATTTTAGGAAGGAAAAGGAAGAATAACTTCTCTAAACTGTCAGGGGGTTGTGGGTAGCAGAGTGTGGGTAGCAGTGTTGCAAGAGAATTTTGACTGCTGCTTTTCAAAGACACTCTTCTGTTGGTAAAAAGATGTTTTGGGAATGAGAAGCAGAACAGGAGGCTGAGGAGTGGGGATATGGGAGTAATTTACCAGTTCAGTGGGAGATTCCAACAATTGTCTGTGGAACAGCCCGGATTGAGGCATCTGTTTGTGCCCATATGTGTGCTAACTGCATTGTACCATGGGGCATCACTATGACACGAGCGTGCCAGAATGTTCAACACCTCCCTTATCCAGTGGAAGGGGAAACACATTGGCCTTCTGAACCCTTATGAGGAAAGAGCAAGAAGAGCTGTAGCTGTCTAGACGATGACTAAGAAGGGAATATGTCAATGATTTACCAGCCTATGAAGAATGTAAACACCAGAGAGGAAGAGGAATTGTTTTGAGTTGTTCAAAGGAGTAGAACCTGTAATAATAGGACGAAAGTGAGCAATGGTAAATTCTGGCTGGGCATCAGAAAACATTGCTAAAGGGGAGACCTATTAGAATGAGAAATCCCCAGTGCTTGAGTCATTGAAAACTAGACTGGACAAAGAACACACCTTAGGAAAATAACCAGCCCTGGGCTGGCAGCTGGGGTGGACTAAAAAAACTGATGTGAATGTTCAGTCGGCATTTGCTCTGGTTTTATAATCTCAGTTAAAGTGTCCCAGAAATGAAAGAGCAGGAGCTGGGATTTTCTATCTAACTCTGATCATTTTTTGCTTTGTTAGTTTTGCAAACAGAAGAAACTTAACACTTTGTTGAGAGTTTTGGGTGGTTTTTTTGTTGGTTTTGTATTTTTTTATAACTTTAAATACAGTACGGAGTATAAATTAATCTTACATTAAAATAAAAAAAGCAAAAAACCTCGCCAACTTTACAGACCATGGGAAGGAGATCTTAGAACAGGAAAACAAACTGCCTTAAGACTTGAGAATTTGTGAGGTGGGGTGGAGTGAAGGGAGCAGAGTGCAAGTGGCAGAGAAAGATCTTTATGTTGGTAGAACTCAGCAGGAGAGGAGCTATGGGTTTGAGGTGAGGGGAGATCTAAGCACCTGTCTGATGGACAATGCTCCCCATCCTATTGTATGATCACCTTACTCCTGCTGGTGGTCTCCCTGTGGTACATCTGCATGCCTTGAGACCTGAATTTGGTGGGTGGGACCATCAGATTTGCCATTGGGGCACAAATATGAGGGTGGAATTACCTCCATCCTACTCCTTGTTTTCTCTGCCCCAATGTGTAAGCAGTACTGAGTGACCATAGGAAGGGTTAGTCCCCCTTGGAGACAATACTGCATATTTTCCCCCTCTTCTGCCTCATTCTCCCATGGGAGAGAGCTATCACAGTAAAGAAACTGGAATAAGGAGAGGCAGCTGGGAAAGGATAGTTGTAGCTCTGGCTTACACTGAAAACTCCTTGGGGCAGGGAGCTTTTTGTTATTGTGTGTTATACAGTGCTCAGCACAGTGGGTCCACCACTGGGCCTAGTCCTTCAATACATATGAGAAATAACAATGTCTTTAATACGGGCGTGGGTATTTATACAGATGGTCCCTATCTGAAGAGTCATTCTGCCCTGCACCACCTAAACTTCCAAGGCTCTCTAAGCCCTGGTCTATACTATATTTTAAAATAACTCCCCTTATTTCGAAATAACAAGCAGAGTGTCCACACTACCAAGCCCATTAATTTGAAATAAGGGGCTGGTTATTTCGAATAACACTTATTTCGAAATAGTTGTTTCAAAATAGCGGTAGTGTGGGCACTCCACTGCTGCTATTTCAAAATCACTACTCCCCAGAGGCATTCAAAGTAATTAACTCTCCAGTGCTTCCGGGAGCTCTAAGTCGAGGTAGCGCGTCCACATTAAGGGAACCTGCCATGAACTAATTTCAAGGCTTCCCTGTAGTGTGAACATGCCCACGCTATTTCAAAACAGTTATTTCAGGAGTTCTTTTTTCGAAATAAGTTATTTTGGAATAATTTCCTAGTGTAGACTTGCCCTAAGATGTCTGTGAAGATAGCAATGCTCTTTCACCAAAAGGGGTTATTTCTATTTTTAATTGCTTGTTGTGAAGTCAGAGGTTCTCTTTCTCCCCTTGCCCTGACTCAATCCACCCTCCCACTCCCGCAAACTGCCCAAGAAGTTTGTTGGATCTGTAGTTCTTTTGAAACTGAGAAGGGCTTTAATGTAAGTTAAGGAAATCCCAGTGTGTGTGCTTGAGAAAATGGGTAGGGTTGCCAGGTGTCCAGTATTGAATCATAGAGTCTGGTATTTTTGCCTCCTGTCCAGTAAAAACATTCAGAAAACACTGGACACCTAAAATGTCTGATACTTTCTGATTTTTGCCTGGCCAGGAGGTGAAAATCCCGAGTGCTTACGTGGTTCCGCAGGGGATCTGTCTGGCCCAGAGCAGGAAGTCAATATGGTGGACGGCCACCGGCAGCCTGTTAGGGCCAAAGAGCATCAAAGGCATTTCTTAAAGGGGCCATGCTGGTTGGTGGTTTGTTTTTTGTTTTGTTTTGTTTTGGGTTTTTTTGTGCACCAGTTTTGGTTTCCCCCTTTTTTTTCCTCAATAGAATTATTTTTCCTCTTTTCCCCCTTTTTTTTCCTCAACAGAATTATTTTTCCTCCGGTGTTTTATTTTTTGTGGGGGGAAAGGGGTGTTTGGTATTTTTGGTTAAACCATCTGGCAACCCTAAAAATGGGGGAGGCAAATGGGAGAGCCAGGGAAATAGAGATGGGGAGAGCAACTGAGAGTGTGAGATGAGAAATATCCATGAAAGGGTATTCTGCTCTCAGATATTTCTGGGTAATATTATCCTGCCCTCAGGAGCACGGGTCAGCCAATTATAGTTTGTTCTGATGAAGTAATGTTTCTAAGCCTGTATTTCGTTGATTGAGTGTGGAAGTTGTGAGCAGGGAAAAGAGAGTGAGGGACATTGTTCTGTGCACCCTGCACACAACTAGGTAAAGACATGGAAAGTTTGCTTTTCTTTTAGCCCACCGAGGTGATGCATGAACTTGCCTGCCGATTCCTTCCATCATGGAACAAATCCATTTAAAAACCAAAGACATATATACATAGTGAATTAACCAATAACCCAAGTTCCAGACTGGTAAGTCGAACCCTCTACAGCCATGTGCAAAGACAGCATCCTGTGTCAGGGGGCCAGGAAAGCAGAGAATGATTCTGCCAGCTGTCCACTCCTTCCCAATGCTCCGAAAGTTTTCCAGTCTGCGCCAAGGTTGAATGAGATAAATGTATTTTGCTTTCAGTTTTTTCTGTTCCCCGAGATGTTTTACATTTTAGTGGTTTTTAAAATAATATATATATATATATATACACACACACACACAAAACTGTCCAGATGTGGCAATACAAGTCCATAGTGCATTTTGCATCATTGGTTTCCTCTCTCAGTCTGAAATCTGCTGGCTTGAAAACATGGCCATCAAATCATTGATCTCAGCCAGGGTCCCCTGTCCCTCACCAAGAAGAAGGGAAAGGAAGAAAATTGCTCCCATTCCTCACTTTTTCCCCCTCAAAGGAAAATGGACCCATGTTTCTTTTTCCAATTTGCCATTCTATTCTCTACAGCAGAAAAGGCATTGTCCTGTTCCAGTTGCACGTGGGGTTTTGGGGTTTTTTTCTCTCTCTTTTTGGAAAACTTTAAAATGCTGTTCATAAATGAAGAGAGGAAAATGGAGGGAGAAAGTCCAGCCATGGAAAGGGAAGCACCATTTGCCGCCCGACTCAGGCATTGAGACGGATCGACAGAGAGGAAGAGTTATCATTCTAAGGGCCCCATGGGGGCAATACAGCAAATACAATAAAACCTGCCAAGAATGACCATTCATGGGAGCTAGCAAAAGTGGTCACTTAGTAAGAGGTGGTCTCTCTTCAAAGGTTCGCACAACAGAGAGCAGTGGTGTTCCGGGGCCTCTGCAAGTAGTTGTCCGTGGCAGGTTGCCTCTCTTCAGAGGTGATCTCTAATGCAGGTTTTACTGTATATTAAATATACCTGAAAGTGAAGCAACATAGACACTGAATTAAAATAAGAAGCCATCTCATTCTGCTCTTCCCCTTCCTTCTCTGTTTCTTCTATAAGAATGTTTGTTTTAAAGTGCCATATTAATAACCCTGGAGACCAAGTCACTGAAATCTTCTGTTTATCTCCAGGACCAAACTAAACTAAGCTTGGCACAGGAGCAGAAAAATAGCATACATCACCTTTGCATGTGGATTCTCCAGGAACAGAGGGGTATTTTTTGGTTAAAAAAAGAACACAAAACCCAGAGCAGCCCTAATGCTAAAGATGGGATTAGAAGACTCCTGGCTCCAAGTTTCTTTCCTCAGACCATAGCTCTCTCTCTCTCTCTCTCTTTCTCAAGGCTTGATTTTCCTTTAACTTTCACTGGTTTTACACCAGTGAAATTCCACTGGAGTCCATGGAGTTGCTCCTGATTTAGACCACTGTAAGTGAGAGAAGAATCAGGCCCCGTAGAAATGAAAGATTTAATTCCCGGAGACTCCCTTTGCTTTTTTTAAACTTTGTTATGCTCTCTGACTTCCTGTTAGGACTCATTCAAATAATGCTCCTTTTGTGTCCTTCTACCACTTTAACCAAGAATCTCAAAAAGCAATCCCGTAATAGAGAACGCAAAATGGAAATTAATTCTTCCTTTTCGGTGGAAACTCAGTACCTGATGGGTGATCAGAGTGAGCTGCACAAAACAGACAAATAATATGGTCTCTGGTGGTTCTTAGATATTAGGGAGTGGGCTTGTTCAGCTTTCAGGGGGATGATAGCATGGGGCTCCGTGGCAAAGGAATTTCACCTTTGCAAGAATGAGTTCAAGTGTGATACATCGTAGTGGGATGAATTTGCTGAGTACCAGCCTTGTCCTGTTATTTCATTAGATCACACGATTCAACACTATTGAGCATCTTGGCTCTACACTGTGGAATAGCAAGAGCTGCAGAACTGAGATCCCTGGGCACAACTGTATGTGAGACCCAATGCTGAAGTAGCAGCGGGTGCTGTGGGTAGCAAGTGAGATGCATGGGCATGTGTTTAGGAAGAGAATTCCTCCATGACTGGAAGAGCAGCCTGCTCACTTCCCAAAGTGTCCCCTCCCCTTCAGTGGTAGTTATTGCAGTTACCTGCCTTGCACCTCTATGTTCTGAGGATTTCCTTCAGCACTTTCTTATCATGGACATGCTTGAACTTCCGATGTTTTCTCTTTTGAGCTGGCAGCCGGTGCACTCGTTGTTTCCTCGAAACAGGAGCCGCAGTGATCGATGGTGATGCACCTGCCAAAACAGAGATGAGAATGTATCATGCCATGAGCAGCAGCTGAGACAGCTGGCAATACCACTCCCTCCTCACCATCAACAGTAGCCTTACAGCAAGAGAGCAGGAGGCCCTCTTCTTCCTTCCCCACCGTTCTTCCTCTGCTTCATTTAGTCTCCTCATTTCTCCACTCTCCTTTTCCTCTCTTCTATTTCTCTCTTCCCCATTCCATGCTCTCCTCTGTCTTTCTGTCCCCCTTTCCCTCCTCCATGTCCTCCCATTTTTGTCCCTTTCTCACAAGCAATTCTCTAGGCAAACACTTCAGCCACTGGAAATCAGCAAAGCTCCACAGACTTCACAGGCACTGTGCTGATTCACAGCAGCTCAGGCTTTGGCCTTCTTTTTCATCTTCGGCATTTCTTATCTCTTCCCCTCACACCAGCAGCCTTACCTCTGTGCTCACGTGAACTGCGACTGGAGGGCTGAGATACCAGTGCCTCACATCGGCACTCCAGGTGATCCTCCAAGGGCACAATGGCTTTTTTAAAGGTGGCCTTCTTCTGGATAAATCCAATCTTGTTTACCTATTGAGCGAGAATAAAAACAAACCCATCTAAAATATAAATACTGTTGCTACTACCACTGCATCAGCATGAATACCACCTGACATTTATCTGGTGCCCTTTTTTCTAAAGGGTCCAAAAGCATGGATCAAATCTAAGCCTGGGTCACTTTGGTGCAACTTTCACTGATTTCAGTGGAGTAGCACACAGCCAGGCAGGTCTGACTTTAGCCTTGTACATAGAGAATCATTTCACCTAACTCGTGACTTCCAGCTGCTTCTCACATGAAACGTGACAGCTGGTGAACAGTGCCCAGAAGCACTACTCAACAGAAGCACAGAACAGTGCTGGGCCTGATAGATTTGACACAGGAAGTTTTGGGGTAGGCAGAATTGAGATCCCGGAGTAAAAACTGTTGCAAACAACAACATGGCAGAGAGAAGAAATTCAGACCTGAGGTAAACACGTGCAACTGTACTGACTTCAGTGGAGCCAGGTCTGAATTGGTCTTGGGATATTTAACGACTAACAGTGGTAAGGGGCTTATGGCTTATATGAAAGGAAGCATTTCTGCCAGCACAACGTTTCTGAGGACGATTCTGCAGCCCTTGTTCAGCACTGATTCAGCATGCAGCTTGAGAGAGTCTAATTTCCAGCTCAAGCAGATGGATATATGCTAGCTCTGATTGAGCTCGTGCTCTAAAAGAGCTGTGCCGTTGTGGTAGCAGAGGTTAGCTGCCAGAGTATGTACGTAGGATCTTGGATGGGATTATACTTGAGCAGCCGCAGCCCTAGTTCAGTCAGAGTGAGAGGTTGTCTATCTACCTGCACTGGGACTTGCACCTCCCAGCTACAGTGTAGCCTTACCCTTATCCTACAGTCCCTGCCTTTGTGTGGGCAGTTTCCCATTCAAACACTGACCAGCCCTGACCCAGTTTAGCTTATCTAACAAAACCACATTCCCTGAGGAGGTCTACAGGCTATAAATACTATCACTGCTTTGAGTCTGGGACTGAAATCCTCCCAATGTGCCGTCCCTGGCATCATCACTCAACCAGTGATCAAACCTACTGGCTGTTTATCTTTCCTTGAAAGCCCCAATCTACACGCTTCAGACCACACACTGCTCGCTAGACAAACATTTCCAACCGCACAATATAGAGAGACCTCTGTCCTCAGAGAAGTAATTTCCGGGTCACCTTTCCTGGCTGACTTTTGCTAGTCTTTCCTTTGCTTTTTCCACAAAAACAGCTCCCATTTCTCCTCCTACTTTCCCTCATTCTGAGTGGCTTTTCTGAGAAAGGTATTTCCTGCTAAAGCAGATGGTATGATTGTGCACTCTGCTCTGCGCCGGCCTGCCCAGGGCATAAGGTCTCTCACAGATCAGACAGAAAATGTGCAGGTGACGATTATATATTTAAATGAGCTGTCTGGGAGAAAGCGTGGAGATTACTAGTAACTGAAGTGCTAGCATGATCAAAGAAAGAGGTCAGACATCAGGTGTCTGTTTGCAGCAGGCGTAATCAGGAAGATCACAGAAGGGCAAGGAAAGGAGGAGGGGATGCTGTCCCCAGGCACGTGTTTGGGCTGAGGTGCGTTGTCAGGGCTGTGATGGAGAGGCCAGCACTGTTCGCCCTTCACTTGTGTGGCCACAGGCAATCCCCTGCCGCTGCCCCTTCCCCCTCCCCGCCCTTGCTTTTTATTTTTAGTGGAGAGGCCCTGAAAGAAGGAAACAAGGAGGGAGAGGAGAGAGGATTTCTGTGTACCTGAACGTGCCGCACACGGACCAGCGTGGGACGACACTGAACATTGCGATTGTTGCAGCACCCTGAACACCGCTGCACCTCCACGCAGGGTGGCCACACCACAAAGTTGGCATTGGTGGAATCTACCATGCTCCGGGTGATTTCAAAGACCTCTGTCCGTGTCTTGCACTCTGCAAGTACTGCTGGCTCAGCATCTGCCACTGAATGTAGAGGGGAAAATGGCAAAGTAGGCTTCATATGCTACTCTTGTAAACCTGGTACAATACCACGAGGTAATCTAACCTAGGCTTGCACCCCTCTGGAGCTACAGATATCTGTTCTTTCTCCATCCCATTCTGTGCCCCTCACTGTCTCTTTCAAAGGGCCAACCATCGTGATGACAAAGAAAGAATAATGATAAGGATAGCTAACATGCTGGACAGGAAAGGACTGGGGCTCATCAGTGTTGCCGCCTAACGAGACAGAGTGATTTGCTGCAGAATGACATCTCCTGCTTCCAAACACCACCTCCTCCACTTCAGGGGCTGAATGCTTGGCCTCTGCAACACATTCAGGGCCTGCTGGCCCCAGCTGGAGCCGGAGGAGTGGAAATCAAAAAATGCAAATAATCGCTAGGTCACCAGTCTTGGTCCATTATCATTCTGCTCTATAGAATTATTCCAGCTAATTTCAGTACTTAACAATTAGTAACAATCTCTGCATTTGTTTAGGGCAGCATCACACTCAGCAGAAACACAGTTAGTCACTGGCTGACACCAGGTGCCAACTCCAGTGACCTGCCTAGTACTTGTTTTCCAGCACTGATATGAGCTATGAAGTGAATGCTAATGCAGCCAGGGCACTGGCATTTCCAACACCAAGTCTGAAGCCACAACCAGAGGAGGGCATCAGGGTACAGCGCTGGGAATTCAGACCCAGACTCCCTTACACAAACACACTTGCATGGTTACATTAAGGATGTAAAATACCATTTAACCTGTTAAATATTATGGTTAACCAGTTAACCAGATCCTGCAGGCAGGGCAGGGCAGGGCAGGCCCAGCCAGGCTGGAACACTCCCAGGCCTGTGGCACAGCCCAGCCTAGGGATGTAACCGGTTAACCGGTATGCATCGCCCTTATTGAGTGATGTTTATCAGTAACCAGGCCTCCAGTTAACCGGTTACTGGTAAGCACCACCCAGTAACTGATAAGCATCACCCTTAACCGGTTATGTCTGTAGGCTAAATGCACATGTGACAGTGACACACACACACTTAAACACATACCATCACAGGCATATTTCACAAACATGCACATTTCACAGATGCAGACTGTACATACCCATGTATATTTTTTAGAGGAGTGTCTGTGTTAGTCTGTATGGGTATGTCTACACTACCACCCTAGTTCGTGAAATGAGGAGTAATAGTAGTTCGGACTAGGAAGCCTAGTCCGAACTACCTAGTCCGTGCTGCGTGTAGCCGTGCGGCACGGAGTCCGCACTAGCGGACATTTAAAAATGGCGGCGCCCGGCTTTATGCAAATGAAGCCCGGGAAATTCAAATCCCGGGCTTCATTTGCAACTCCGGTTGCCTACATTACCACCCTAGTTCGAATTAGGGTGGTAGTGTAGACATACCCTATCTTCAAAAAGAGGAGCCTTGTCGCACCGTAAAGACTAACAGATTATTTGGGCATAAGCTTTCATGGCCAAAACCCACTTAATTCATGGCCATGCATAATATATAAATAAATCTGTTAGTGCCACAAGACTCCTCATTGTTCATGTGTATTTTGTGTATCTAATCTCTTACTTACACCGAAATGTTGGCACCAAAGTTAGGTCTGAACCTAATACTCACTTAGACTTCGTTTCCCTCGAGACAAGTTTTGACCAAGATGGGCTTGGGTTGAGTTCAGGTCCAAATTGGAGCCATCCTCTTCTGCAAGAGAAGGTCATAGCCAAATAAGACAATGTAGAGACAAAAAAGTAAGGCAATGGTGTGAGAATCAAGTGACAGAGGAGGCAAAATTTGGGTAATTCATCATTTCAGTTCATGCACTACCATCTTACATCCAGTTTTAGATTCAAGTTCCAGCTCAGATCACAAGTGCAATGAGTGTGAGGCATCTCTACATTTATTCACCTCATCACATTGCTCCCTTCCATATCTTGTTAAAGAGAGGCCCAGGGCTGGACTTGCAGAAGATACTCTAGGGCAAGAGAAGCAAAATGCAGGACAATGTAGAGATGTACTTAGCCGAGCTGTTTGGGGTATGACTGGTGAAGCAGAGGGAGTTGCATGTCAAGATGCAGGTGAATCAGCAGAGCTGGGGTTCAGGGAAGGAACAGGGCGGGATTAGCAAGAGGTGTTATTGGTGAGAACTTAAGTGCAGTGGTAGAAGGTGTGTTTGTCCAACGACTGGTATATCAGAGGATGCTACAGGTCAGGCCTGAGGGGCACTGGCAGAACTGAGTGAAGGACCCAGACTGGAATAGTGGGGGTGCTGGAGGTCAGGTCAGGTACATTAGATGAGGTGGAGGTGGGTTACTGGCATTCTCTCTCTCAACCCACCAAGCTCATTTGAGGTAGTCATCTTTTTTTGACAGGAGAATGGAAATATACATTTAGAATAACTCTTCCCCTCTACTACTGTCAGCTCAGCATCCGGTCCTGGGAGTAGTTTGGCCAGGGGAGGGAGAAGGGAGAGGACAGCCCTGTTCCCAGTACCCCAGTCCCATTGCTTTCCCATAGGAAGTGCTGAACAAAGAAATTCTCATTGTCCTCCTGGGGCACTTTAGCAAGTGGTCGCTCCAGAGCTCCAGACAACAGTAATCCTCAAGCAGCAGCTCTCTCCTTTTGTGGCCTGATGTAGCTGCAGTGGGAGGCAGAATGGACATCGACCTCCAGGGAGTTATTTATTAAAGTGAATTCAGGACCGGGACATGGGTGCTGGTTAATCAGGCACAACAGCAGAGCAAGCGTCCTGCACCTATTGCTCCTCGTAAGGCACTTCACCACCCCTGCCATGGAGAAAGCCGCTTTGTAAGAATACGAAGGGCATTTGGTCTCTGGTCAGTCCATTGCCTCTCTACTGAGACAGTCCTCAAGTTAATAAGTCATCGCTAGTGGATATTGTGATGTGAACACCTGGCCACCAGCCTGCTGTGACAGCACCAAGCTGATTTCACATAGGCCAGCGAACAGTAATGACATGCAGTCACTAACTACTTGAGGACTGACTGGAATCTGTAACTTGGGTATGAAAGCTCTCACTCCCATATGTGATGCGCTGTGTCACTCAGTCTTTCCTGATCTGGGTTTACTGTGGAACCAGTGACCTGGGCTGGAAAGGCTCTCGTGTGCAGTGGAGGAGCTGCTCCAGCCTGTCCACAGCAGGCAGGGAGCCCTGAGCTGCCCAACATTGTTTAACCACTTAACTGATTAACCAGGATTTTACATCCTTGCTTCCAAAAGAATCCTGTTTCATTTCTTAAGCATATGAAGGGTTAGTCACTGGAACAGAAATGTATCCCTTACGTAAGCTATAGGACACGACAGGCTGCATGCATCTTCTCCCGCTCCTCCCCCCCCTTCTTGCATTCTCTGGAATTTTATCAGGCCTGGGTAGGGGATGCCTTTTGCGTAAGGGTTGAGTTGATGAGAAAAAAATAGCAACACTGTTAACTGGAAACAAATCTTCTATTGAAAACTGAGGTCCCCTTTCCCCTCCCCACAGTGTGTCTTTTTTTTTTTTTTTTTTTTTTTTTTTTTGGATAGGTCGTTTCTGCCGCTGCTGACAGGGTGGGGACCCAGGCTTGCAAAAGGCAGTGCTGCTAATTTTGGAAACTGCCCCATTGTGTGGCTCATGGACTTCGAAGAAGAACTGGAGGGGGGGGGGGAACCTCGTCGCCTCTTTTTAAAGGAAACAATAGCAGCCCACAGCTGGTGCCCTCCCTCTCTCCCCCCTCCCTGTCCCCTCCCAGACCATTTTGAAAGGGAGCGGGAATGCTTTTGAGAACGTGCCAGTGGTCCGACTGGCATAGGAAACAAAAGCAGGAAATTCTGTTCCCCCGTAGATAGTGTCTCGGCAAGGATTACAAAGCTACAAACAGACAAAACACAAGAGAGAAGGCGAGGGGGGTGGAGGGGGACGGGCGGGAGCAGAGGTTAGAATAGAATGGAATTCACTCTGAAGAGACCGTTTATAAATAAATTCCTGATCCCGCCTGGCGACCGTGACACGTGGTCCCATTCCCACACGTGCCATTCTCTCCACACTTTGCTCCCTGAACTGCTGCTGCTGCTCTGTGATTTCGGTCCTAGCCAGGTGTTTTCAGGCACTGCAAACTCTGAGCTATTACTCACAGAAAATGACAAAGGAATTCTATCCCCACCACCCCCTTAGTCAGCCTGACACAGTCCTACATCCTTCTTCCCCTTTCTGTCATCTCATAGAAGGGCCTAGCTATGAACCAGTCCACCCACCTGCCTGTGCCCTTCCCTATCGATTGTACTTGGGGACCAGATCTCTCATCTCTCCCCCCCCCCACACACACACACATATTCCCACCAACTCCTAGATAAGTGCTATCAACTCACCTGGCCAGCTCCTAATCACCCACCAGTGCATTTTTTTCTATCCATGGTTCTGCCTATCCATCCACCTGTGCATCACCCCCAAAATCCACTTCATCCTTTCACTGTTGTGCCTTTGCATGTGCCCCTTGGCTAGTTCATTCTTCAATTTAAGCACCTCCTAATCTGCTCACATTTCCCTCCAACCACTCAGGAGCTGAGTGCCAGAAGCTGGGAACGGGTAACGGGAGGGATCACTTGATGGTTACCTGTTCTGTTCTGTTCATTCCCTATGAGGCACCCTGCATTGGCCACTGTCAGAAGACAGGATACTGAGCTAGATGGACCCCAGTTCTTATGTTCTTAGGAGCTTGCTTAGGTTTTTCTCCAGCTCCTCATTCCATGTATGAGGCTATTTAAATCTCCTCAGCACCCAGCCCAAATATAACTGAGTTTTGCAGTGTAGCTTGATAGACTGGCACCTAGAAACTAACATGTTTCTATATTTAGAGTAAGTCCTGCCTGTGTACCTGCTGGAAAAAGAAATGTGTTCCCACCATGAGAATTAAGGAAGGAAGAGGAGTGTTTGGTGTGGAGGAGATTTACCTACGGAGTCTATCTGCAGGGCACGCTGGAGGTCACTCAGGGAGCGCACCAAGCTGTCACTCATTATCTTGTAAATGTCTTCTGGGATGGGGTCCCCCTACCAGACAATAACAAAGTAGGAAACAAGTGTTACACAGGCACTGAATGCCAATCCTGCACAAACAGCTCTAATTATGATGAGGAAGGGGAAGGTGGCAGGGAAAGGAAAGGAACCAGCCAAATGGAGAGAGAAATGCTGCCATGAAAGCGTGGGATGGGAAATCTGAGAGGAGGGAAGTGAGAGAATCTCTGCCTCTTACAAACTGGTCTGTGGCATGAAGGCTGAGACGTGCTGAGCAATGGCATTACACACTGAGGAACTCTAAATACTTTGCCAACAGTCAGGGAAGTTTCATTATAAAGAGTTATACTGTGTGACTGCACCAGGTGGCTGGCAGACCTGGGGCATATAGTACCAGAATTTTACAACTATTAGAGACACAACCTATCCAATATTTCCCTCTGTTCTGAACTCACGCATGTGATCTGTCCCATGTTCTGTGGGTTTGTTTTTTAAATCCCATTGGCCAATTATGTGCACATTTGGGCATTGTTAGAAAAAGGTGTGGATGACTCCTGTATCACAGACCAATTTGCTACTCCTATTTGACCTGACAGTAAAGTCACAAACTCGGCAGTATGACATCACAGTTATTGCCATGGGCTGTGATGTCATAAACAATGGAGCTCAATGTCATAAACCTTGAATGCTGACATTACAAACATCAGATTACAGGTCAAATTCAAGGCCATTGTAAGTGAATGAAAATCCATTAAGTTCTATGAAATCTCACCAACTTACAGCAGCTGTGAATTGGTCCCTATGACTGCCCTGCAGGACTACAAAGGAGAAACATGGAAAGGCAAGTGCTTATTAAAACACATTTCCAAAATAATAGAAACAGAGAAAAGTGCTGCCCAACTGTTTGGTTAGCTCCATGCTCTCTATTATGAAGTACTCATGTGTGGAAAAATTGGCCTTTCAGCTGCTTGCCTAACTGGGTCACTGTGCAGTGGATGGTAGCTGAGCCCCTGCCTGGTGTCACATCCGTTGGCCATCCTGTTGTAACTGAGGGTATGTCTACACTATAGAGTTTTGTCAGAAAAACGGCTGTTTTTCCAACAAAACTTGAAGAACATCCACACTGCAATTGTGTTCTTCCACAAAAAAATGGAAAGAACAGAGGGGGTTTTCCGGCATTGGGAATCCTCATTCTACGAGGAAGAAGCCTTTTTGCAAAAGAGCTCTTTCACAAAAAGGCGTGTGCGGACGGGGAAGAGGGAGTTCTTTTGGAAGAAGAGGAAAAAGCACAGGTGCCCTGGTGGCCATTTCGTTCATAGCAATCACAGCTTACATGAGAGAGAGCATCCATTCAGTCTGGATGCTCTCTTTCAAAAAAGTAGATGGCTTTTTCGATGCACTTGGGCAGCGCAGACGCTCTCTTTTGGAAGTTTTTCCGAAAGATCTCTTCCGTAAAAAGCTTCTTCCGAAAGAAACCTGCAGTCTAGACGTAGCCTGAGAGTAGAATTTGGCCACATGTTTATTAAATGTAGGTTTTTAATGTGTTATGCTTAGTCAGGGAGATGCATGTGCCTGGTCTCTGGTAAATGCCCTCTTAGCAAGGTTATTCTTTGCTCAACTGCTTTCAGAGTGTAACATTTCATTTCAGTTTAGTGTGGGGGAAAGTGCCAGATTGATGGCTCTAGAAACAATGAATTTTCTGTCCACAGAGCAGGTACCACATAGGCAATGGCGATGCAAGTTTCACCCCCATGTGCTGTTCTCCCCTTCCTTGATACCAATAGGCCTCAGATCTGATGGTTAGGGTCCATTTTAGAGATGAGAAGTCAACTTCCCAGACCTCTAAATCCTTGGACTCTCTGCTGAGGCAGCTAGTGCCAGGTTGCATGATGGGGTTTTTTTGTGACATAGGCATCTTCCCACAAGACACACAGCTGAGAGAACACAAGCTCATGTCATTCGGGGTCACCTGTCATATGATGATGACTTCCGATAACTACATGATGGATCGTGAGGAGAACTAGGGTAGCTGTCTTTTCAAAAGGCAAAAGCAGGATGCATGTAGGAGATGCACCACTTCTGTGGCCCACCCATCCCTCCTCTTCCCCTGAACCCCTACCACCTGCTCCCCCTCTTCCTGCCCAAGGCCCAGGCCAGGCCAGAAGCCAGAACTGGGCAGTGGTAAGAGCTGCTCAGGGACTCCAAGCTTCTGTGGGGACTCCCAGACTCTACACCTACCCTTTAGAGAGCACCAGGGTGCCTGCGAGCAGTCCCCAGCCCATGTCCCTGTCCCCTAGGGTGCACTGTCCAGGGCAAGTGGAGGAGTGGCCTGGGCTCCCTGGGCAGCTCTTACCAAGGCTTTGGGGAGCCTGGGGGGAGAGGAGCAGGAAGCAGGCCTGACAACAGATTGCCAGGTCCTGGGTAAGGTGTGGGGAGGGCTCAGCTCTGGGGAGGCTCGGAAGTGATCGGGGCTCGGCTCTTGGGCAGGAGGGATGCTGCTAGGTTGCTTGCCTCTACCACCCAGCCCTCAATGCTGCCCGGACCATGCTGCATGGGAGTTGGGAGGCCATTAAAGGGCCTGGGGCTCTGGCCGCTGTTGCGGCCATGGTAACTGTCTGGAGCCCTGAGCCCTTTTAAATCATCGAGCTCCAGGGCAGCTGCCCTCTTCCCACCCCCCACATCCCAGGCAGTGGCCATGATAGGGGGCAGGACCATGTGTGAAAGGAGGGCTAAGGCCCACCTCAGCTTCCTTCCACCTTCCCACACACACACACATCAGGAAGAGGCTGGTGCTGGCTCCGAGACAAGGCAAGCGCAGAGCAGTGTTGCAGGGAATCCGGGACAAATTCTGTCTCAGAGTCATTCGACCCACCACTGTGACATGAACCCGGCATTTCAGGATTGCAATTCAGGGAAGGTGATCAGCTGAGTTGCTTCCAGTAACACAGACGTGAAAGGCTTTGTATCCCTCCTGTACTGTTTTTGTATCACGCACACACGAGCTTCGATATTGGAAAATGGATTGTTTATGAGTCCAAATATCTGAAACCTGAGATCAAAACTGATTTTTAAGAAATGCATCTGTGGATGAACAGCGCGCTGTGCAGATGAGTCTGGTCCTTCCTGATACTTAATATATGCAGGGAATTAGACTTTATTTTAAACTCTGGCACTTCCTGGGGTCAGCAGGAGGGTGCCACACAACTGCACGACTTTGGTGGAATTAGTGGGAAGAAGAAAGATGCGACCTTGCTAGCTAGGGAGGAGGAGGAGAGAAAACCGGAGAAGCATTTATGGATCAGTGCTTTACAGAGGGATTGCGAACGCAGGCCCACTCACTGGAGACCGGATTACAGGAATTAGCTCCACTCCCTGATCACAGAAGGAATTTTAGGTGCCAACTTTTTGTTGTCGCAGATGCTATCAGTTTGACTAAAGCATGTCAGCACGCCCAGGCTGCAGGCCTCATTATTCTCTCTCTCTATCTCTGAAGCAGCTCTGGGAGTGGGGACTGCATGCTTAGGCTGGGAGGTTTCTGATTTTCTTCCCTGTCACAAAGCCAGAAGGACCTGTGAGAGACTGGACCTGGGGTGTGAGGCTTGGTGTGCTCTCCCCACCTCTCTGAGGGAACTGCTCACCTGAGCTGTCCTAGCATCCCCACGTCACAGAGCCTGGGCTGAGTGGGAAACTGCACCCCCAGGCTACAGATGGACCCTTAAAAGGGAAGGCACACAGTGCAGCAACAACCAGCAAATACATCCACCTGATGCTGCGATAAGGCTGGGAGCAGGGTGGAACGGCAGTAGAAGGGTGGAGCCTCTCCAGGGGCCAACCAGAGCAGCTAGGGCTTTTCCTGTTCTGTAGCAGGAGCTGAGGTAAGGTTATTAGTCCAGTGCAAGTTAATGATCTCCTTTTAACTCTGCGGCAGATCAAAGAAGTCTCTTGTTTTGATGGAGTTCTTGGCTGGGTATCAAGTGCCTGAGGTCTGGCCTTGTGCTGCCGCAGGTGACTTTGCTCCTCCATCTGCTGCCACCCCGTTCCTAGCTTCCTCCTGGGCTATACTTGCATGCCCAGCCACCACACTAGAAACATGCAGGCAGACAGACACAGGCGGGCGCACGCCCGCAAGCTTGCGTCTTTGATTAACATTGTCACATGATTTTGGTGCTCATGAAAGCCAGGGATATGCAGGACTGGGCAGGTGCTGTGCAAGCCAGTAGGGTCTCCTCAGTGGCGGCTTTGCCTGCCCTATAATAAATAAGAATCGTGTGATCTGTATGTGCGGGTAAGTTCTAAGCGTGTCTCTAGTATATGTCAGATTTTCCTCTCTACTGTCAGATGTCAGCAGCCTTGGCTGATGCAGATGAATCCACATGCAGCTCTGCTAATATTCTCCATACAGCTCTGTCCTGCATTCCCCTCAGTTATTCCACTCGGAAGCCCCCTCACAGCTCTGCCCACGCCACTCAGCAACTCGTATCTCTTTCAGTCCCTGGCCCCCAGCTGTGGTAAGATTTGAGCCCCAAGATGCCAATGGTGAAGCCCAAGATGCATTAACTCACTGTGGCTCTCTCTCTCCTCTGCACATGTAACCATGTACACTGAATAGGGCAGTCTAGCATGGAACCAACCCATGGTGGGGTGGAGAGGGAGTGCTGCAGAGGCCTGTTCACTGCCCTGGGGTTAGAAATATGTAAGCTGGGCTGTGAGGAAAACTCAGATTAGCTTCCAGGTCCAGGTCCCTGAGCCATCAGGAACTGGGGGTGCTGCAAAGTGTTGTGATCCGTCTCTGCAAGGACAATGAATGGAGCATGCGCTGCCATTCTGCAGTGATCTGGATGTCTAGTCTTGGGTTCCAACAAAGTCAAGCTCATTCCTCCTCATTTAAGAGCACAGTGAATGCACAGCCCGGAGGGAGCAACGATTGTGAAACTGGGAGGAAAGGAGGGAGAGTGGGATTGAAAAAGACCCTTGGGGCTTGGAGAAAGGAACCGAGGACACGCCCATGGTGAGGATTTTTCCCCGTCTCTTTGAGC